ATATCAGATATATCAATAGGTACAGCTTTAGGGTATATCAGATTTATCAATGGGTACAACTGTAGGGTATATCAGATATATCAATGGGTACAACTGTAGGGTATATCAGATATATCAATGGGTACAACTGTAGGGTATATCAGATATATCAATGGGTACAACTGTAGGGTATATCAGATATATCAATGGGTACCACTGTAGGATATATCAGATATATCAATGGGTACAACTGTAGGGTATATCAGATATATCAATGGGTACAGCTGTAGGGTATATCAGATATATCAATGGGTACAACTGTAGGGTATATCAGATATATCAATGGGTACAACTGTAGGGTATATCAGATATATCAATGGGTACAACTGTAGGGTATATCAGATATATCAATGGGTACAGCTGTAGGGTATATCAGATATATCAATGGGTACAACTGTAGGGTATATCAGATATATCAATGGGTACAACTGTAGGGTATATCAGATATATCAATGGGTACAGCTGTAGGGTATATCAGATATATCAATGGGTACAACTGTAGGGTATATCAGATATATCAATGGGTACAACTGTAGGGTATATCAGATATATCAATGGGTACAACTGTAGGGTATATCAGATACAAAACTGGTACCCAAGTAAGGCTGGCTCGACCTGCAATCTAAGGTCATTAAAAAAAATAAATCAAGTTCTGGCGAGATTTGAACCCACGGCTGGCTGATCCACAGGCGCAATTGTATGGCCGCTTCATCATGGTGGCTCCTTTCAGTGTGAGTGTGTATACATTTACACGTGCGTGTATGCAAACTTGTGTACACATATTCTCACGTGGGCGTGCACACGTATATATATATATATATATATATATATATATATATATATATATATATATATATATATACAGACACACACACACAAACATGTATATATATATATATATATATATATATATATATATATATATATATATATATATATATATATGTGTGTGTGTGTGTGTGTGTGTGTGTGTGTGTACACTGTGTCCGTACAGTCATGTTGTACTTTTGACCGGTCACAGGAAATCAACGAAACAAGATAGAAATAATAAATCTTCACCAAATGAAAGATGTTAGGTCATAACGTGTCTGCACACTCGTTTGCACATCAAGACTACGAGTATGATCTGGAGGGTTCAGGCAGGTTCAGTGTGGCTTGAATAATCACAGAAGTCCACTGTGCGTGGAGTCACCTTTATTTTTTTGTTCTGGGACACGCAGGCGTCGATGGAAATGAAAGAACTGACATGTTGGCTGGATCCGCTATCACTATCGACGGTCAGCCTACGGATCATGCTGATATTATCAATGCCCTCAGAGAAATGGGAAGGATAGAGGACTTTGGTGGCAGTGAATCCACATCACTCGCCAGAATGGCAGACTTGGGAATTAAGATCGGCACAGCAAAAAACGAGACGCACACCAGACACGCCAGAAGTCTTGTTAATCAACATAGAACTGGTACTATTAGCCATCGGACGTTGGGGTTCATACTGAGGGGAGGATCTGAGCACCTATGGACATGTCCGGAGTGCAATGAGGATAACCCAACTAACTAACTAACTAACTAACTAACTAACTAACTAACTAACTAACTAACTAACTAACTAACTAACTAACTAACTAACTAACTAACTAACTAACTAACTAACTAACTAACTAACTAACTAACTAACTAACTACGAAACTTGGAGTTTTCCGTTTATTTCGTGCAGATTTTACATTTCTGACTTTTTTTTTTTTTTTTGGGTTGCTTTCCTGTGACCGGTCAAAAGTTTTCCATTACTTTACAGACACACTATAAGTATATATATATATATATATATATATATATATATATATATATATATATATATAATATATATATATATATATATATATATCAAGCCAAAGTACAATAAGAACATGGCATATCAGATATATTCACAGTCAACTCGGTTGTGAGACAGGGATGTGTGCTCTCCCCACTTTTTTTTAACATTTATAAAGACAGAATATCTAAAGATTCACCCACATTAAACGAACTACTATTTGTTGACCGTGCCATATGAGTCGCGAATGGACGAAAGCAATATGTACAAGCTCGAGAAGTACTGTGATTTAGCAGCCGGTCTGAGGAGGGACGAAGCGTACACAGTAATAGTCTTCGCCGTCGAAGTAGGCGCAAGAGGCCTCGTTTCTACTTCGCTCTACAATGTGATTAAAGAACGAGGCTAACGTGGTAATGAACGCAAACGGACACTTAAACAGCTGGGCGAGGTTGCCGAGAGGGCCTCGAGCTGGCTCTGGACACAACGGAACAACGTAGGGGACGGGCCTCGGTGAGCTGGTCCGGGTGTCTAGTGGCAAAGAATTTCTCATCTCTTTAAGTCCATCGTGTCCGAATTGTCTGCCAGTGTCCCTCTGCCACCTGCTAAAAAGTCCAACATGTATACGGTAAACCAATCGTAAGCTTGCCGCTCGGTCGTCCAAGTATGCAGACTGCTTTAATTATGCTACCGCGACGACTTCTTATCTCACAGTACCTTTTGCAAAATCACCAATTCGTCTTGTCCCTGTCCGAATAACAGTGCCTATGTTACCCACATATCTGCACTATCAAGCAAATAAATGAGAAAATAATATAAAATATGCAGTACCTAATAGCTTCGAATCTTGAGAGAATAAAATGCTAAGTGTTAAGTGGTCACAGAGACCGCAGTGATGGGGAGGGGTAGACGCTGGGTGGGTAGTGATAAAACTGAGCTGAGGGGGAAACCGCTTTAATCTGTTCATATAGCAGGCACTGTGTGGCACACTTGGAGCGACGACACAGCAATAGCCAGGGAAGTGCAAATATGATAGTAAATTAGAGCAAACGCTGGGCACCTTAAACACTTTGAAGATCAAGGAATATTGCACTGGGATCCTGACAACATAAATAAAGGACATCCCATGCCATATCCGTAACTAACCGGATTAGGTGAACGTTCGGTCGTTTCAGTCCTGTTCAGTTGTAACAATCGATACTGCTTTAGAATGACAGTCTGTATTAGTTCATTAACATATAATCCCTAGTGTAAAAGAAAGACCTTTTACTAAAGTAAAAGACCCTTCTCCACGCCTTAAAGCGTGTTGGGCATATAGGGTTAGACCTACATTTAATTGACCAATGGGCGCTTGGTTGGTGATGTGGTCAGTATCACGATGGCCGCCTTTACGTCCCAGGACTTTAGCTAGTACTCATCTAAGAATGGGTTCTTCAGGGAGCCAAGGTCATTAAACAAACATCCGGCTCCGTCCGGGCCTGAAACCTCGTGTCTGCAGGCAAGCGTCTGGCACCACGGCGGCTCACCAGCGCAATATACGTCAAAGCTACTTCTACAGTATTTCTCATGCTTCTGTTGTAACATGTCGGCCTCTATGGCTTAGGTGTTGCGAACGCGCTTCGTAGTGCCGGGGTGCCGGGGTGCCGGGTTCGATCCCTGCTGCGGACGGTTTGTCTTGCCATGGTTTCGACCGTGCTACCGAGAGCCGACCGTCCAGTTAGCAATGGCAAACTACTGGACGTAAATTTGCCTAGAAAAACCACAAAAGCTAGAAAGTGCTAGGGTTGGTTCTGCAACGTCCTGTTGTAACATAACAACAACAACAACAGCTGGTACGCAGAACAGGCACAATTGCTAGGCATAATATTCTTACTGTAATAGACATTTCGCGGTCCCCACTGGCACTTTTTTAAGACACTTCGCGGTCCCAACAGGCACTTTTTAAAGACACTTCGCGGTCCCAACGGGTACTTTTTAAAGACACTTCGCGGTCCCAACGGGCACTTTTTAAAGACACTTCGCGGTCCCAAGGGGCACTTTTTAAAGACACTTCGCGGTCCCAACGGGCACTTTTTAAAGACACTTCGCGGTCCCAACGGGCACTTTTTAAAGATACTTCGCGGTCCCAACGGGCACTTTTTAAAGATACTTCGCGGTCCCAACGGGCACTTTTTAAAGACACTTCGCGGTCACAACGGGCACTTTTTAAAGACACTTCGCGGTCACAACGGGCACTTTTTAAAGACACTTTGTGGTGAGTGCTGGCACCTTTTCTTTTTTTCTAGGAAACAAAATGCAACAATCTGAGAATCATCATCATCACGTGCCATATCAGTTGCCGTAGGCGTTCATGCATCTCCACAGATCTTGGTCTTTGGTGTTCTGGATCACTTCCACTGATGATTTTCCCTCATGTGACTGTCTGAAGCCATCCACCAACATCTCTCTTGGTCTGTCTCTGACTCTTCTAGCACTAATCTGTCCAGTCGTCACGACTTTCCAGTGCTCATTTTCCCATCACATGACCAAAGAACTGTGATTGTTTCCTTCTAATTATTGTATACAATGTTTTAATTTTATTAGTAATTTCCAGGCAATCATTGTTATTTATTCTGGCAGCTTCTCAAGAAACACATCTCAGCTGCCTCCAAACTCTTCCTAATTTGTTTGCTCACATTCTAAGATTTACTGCCACACCACACAATAGGCTAGATATAACATTTCAGTGCTCGTTTCCTGATGTTCAGTGAGAGTGATTTATTACAAAAGATAGAATAATCATGTAAAAATTATAAGTATAATTAGTAAGCGAGCATAATTCGTCAACATACATGCCAAATCAGTACATTGATACTACACTTAGACAAGTACACACATACCAAATCAGTACATTTGGTACAAGTACACACATAACGGTTTACTTCTGAACAGTTAATTAACCAGAAACATGATTTCTGTGATACAAAACTTTATTGTAAAACCCTTGAAGATAACGGTTCTAATGAGAGTGGACAATAGGAAATGACGTTAGTTGTGCGATAAAACTGTAAAACTATCATTAAAAAAACGAACAAACTCGACAGAAGTAAAACGGATCATCTTTACAAAGAAAAAAAATGACATGGTAAATGACAGTGGGAGAGCAGCTCCTTGTTCAGCTGCTTCTGTTGCTCCCCGCTTGTTGAGGCCTTTTGCTGCGGCTGCCCAGGTTGCCAAAGATGTGCCTGTAGGTGTCCCTGAAGTTTCTGTTGGCGTAGATGTAGATGAAGAAGTTGCAGGAGCTGTGCAGGCACTTGACAAACCTGACCATCGTGTCGAGGATCTTGTCCACTTGAGTGTTCCTGCTGGGAGTGACCGTCAGCTGAATGAAGAACGCCGACCCGATGGTGATGGTGTAGACAATACAGACCAGCATCAGTGTCCACGTAGTTCGAGAAGACGGGATCGCCGCAGGTTTCTGGGTAACGGAGATAACGGCAGACATCATTTTTCGGCGTTTTACGGAAGCCGCCTTGATCTTGACACCGACCATGATGCAACCGACAATCACCAGCAGGACGGAGATAGGTTCTGTGAGAATAATGGCTGTCCTGTTGATGAATACATAGATCTGCTTGTAGTTATCATCCGTGTACAACCGGGTCCGGGTGATTACACCGTGACTGTGTCCGTCGATGTCCACGAAAACTAGATCATCTAGAAAGAAGTAGTAAACATTGACGGGTACCCACAGAATAAAGATGGCAATAACTGCAGTCCAAGTTCTTCTTGGGGTGACAATTATTGGGAACTTAAAGGGAGAGTAGACGGCCACGATACGCTCGAGGGTAATGAGGACAGGTAAAGTCAGAGAACACCAATTGCCCCACAGCTCCAGGAGGAAGAACAACCGGTATAAGCCGTAGAGAACGTAGCAGACAGTGGTGGAGTAGGCAAACCCCGGCGAGCTGCTGTAGTCATGGATGTATGCAGGCACGTTGTTGATGCCGATGAGGTAGAAAGCATCTGCCAGGGTCAATGCTGCCAGGAGGATGTTGGAGGTTTTCTTGAACCCGTGTCGGTGCAGGACGATCATGCTGGACATGTTGCCAAGGATTCCCGGCAGGGATATACATGGGATGATGATCAGTGCGAAAATCCACTGGATGCTTAGGCTGGTCTCGTGGCCGATGAGACTGTTCTCTTCCCGTTGCAGGGTGGAGATGTGGAGATCTTGTGTGCTTGTGAAACTGACCGGATGTTCAGGGATCTTTACAGTTGTGTTGTCTGTCAGGTTTCCAGACCAGGTGCCGTTGCTTGATAAAGATGCTGCCATTTGTGAAATAATTCGGGTCAAGGCAGTGAAATTATATCGTTGTAGCTTCAAGTAACCTCTCTGTAGTTTTCAAAGATTGGAAGTTATAGTCCGTTTATTTCACAAAATACATACACGTACATTTTGTTGAGAGCAGATCGTCGAATGCGAAGTAAGTCAAGTAAGTTGGTCAGTGTGAAAACTTACAGCAGATTGGGGTTCTACTCATACATCGATGATTGGCTTTTAAGTTCGAGATCTGGGAAGAATAAATCTACGGTTATAAATGTGAAGATTTTGCATAACCGTAAAAAAAAAAAAAAAAAAAATGAAAACATAAACAAAAGCAAGGCAGATGTTTACAAACAGTAAGTAATGAACGTTTTTTTAGAGCACCTTCAGGCAATTCACATATGGAAAAGTGCTGAACGTCTCTATTTGGGGGGGGGGGGGGGGGGGGGGGCGTGCAAACACTGAAAGGCATGTCAAGTAAATCGAGTAGATCAAGTACACAGTGCTTTTCTAAGCCTTAAAAACTGTAGGGATATGGGCTATATAGCCCGCATTTCATAGATCAAATGGCCATGTCCTTGGATCAAAGGGTTATGTGGTTAGATCACATGGTTTTGTTGTTACATTAAATTGTCATGTGCTTAGAATGGTTGTGTGCTTAGATCAAATGGTTATGTGCTTAGATCAAACGGTTAAGTGCTTTGATCAAATGGTTATAAGCTTAGATCAAATGATCATGTGCTTAGATCAAATGGTTATGTGGTTACATCAAATGGTTATGTGGTTAGATAAAATGGTCGTGTGGTTATATCAAATGGTTATGTGTTTAGATCAAATAGTTATGTGGTTATATCAAATGGGTATTTAGTTACATCAAACGGTTATGTTGTTTGATCAAATGTTTATATGGTCACAATGAAGCCATCAGCCGTGACCTAATCGAATGTTTTCTGATACCAGTTTGAGACGGGTCGATCTGGGAGCCACAAACAATACTGAAACAGGTTGTGCAAGTCATATCGTTACCGGGGATGGCACAATCAAAGTAGTTCAGGCATGGACAGAGGGTCAGCTCTTTGTTAACGGGCGTCAGAGATGGACATGGAAGGGGCAGTCTGTAACAAGGCAACTTCACATTGAACAGACATATTACATGTAGAGAACTGCAAGAGACGGACTGGCTGACGTCAGAGACGGGCACAAGGGGCAGTCTGTAACAAGGCAACTTCACATTGAACAGACATAGTTACATGTGGAGAACTGCAAGAGACGGACTGGCTGACGTCAGAGACGGACATGGTGTGAAGGGGCAGACTGTAACAAGGCAACTTCACATTGAACAGACATAGTTACATGTAGAGAACTGCAAGAGACGGACTGGCAGACGTCAGAGACGGGCATAAGGGGCAGACTGTAACAAGGCAACTTCACATTGAACAGACATAGTTACATGTAGAGAACTGCAAGAGACGGACTGGCAGACGTCAGAGACGGACATGGGAGGGGCAGACTGTAACAAGGCAACTTCACATTGAACAGACATAGTAACGTGTAGAGAACTGCAAGAGACGGACTGGCTGACGTCAGAGACGGACATGGGAGGGGCAGACTGTAACAAGGCAACTTCACATTGAACAGACATAGTTACATGTAGAGAACTGCAAGAGACGGACTGGCTGACGTCAGAGACGGACATGGGAGGGGCAGACTGTAACAAGGCAACTTCACATTGAACAGACATAGTTACATGTAGAGAACTGCAAGAGACGGACTGGCTGACGTCAGAGACGGACATGGGAGGGGCAGACTGTAACAAGGCAACTTCACATTGAACAGACATAGTTACATGTAGAGAACTGCAAGAGACGGACTGGCTGACGTCAGAGACGGACACGACAGATAGGGAAAGACTGCAACAACAAGACATCTTCACATTGGACAGACATAATTACATGCAGAGAACTGTATTGCGTAGACTAACAGGCGTCAGTGCGTGGGGCAAACAGACTTTTGTAATATGTCTGGCACATTGACTGAGTCAGTGCGGCGCAATAGTCGTTTTCTGAAACTTTAACTCGAGAACATTGTTTATCTACTGAACCCACTCTAATGTTCATCCATTCATTCTTGCATCTACCGCCTCCACACTGAAAGTTAGCTGCAGTAGATTTTCAACACTTGCCCTCTCTACACAGAACTGTTGGAGACTTGTCGCCCATCTCTTGGCGGTGTTCGGTCACTTGTGCCTGTCAGTTGCTGCCTTTCAAATACCACTTTGTGTAGGCAGGTGGGTCTTTGAGCCTAAGGATTTACGCCGCGTGGCTGATGCCTTTGCCACGACTGTGCAGGTTAGGTTTTTATTTTGCCCCCAAGAGAAAAAAAAATACTCAAGATTCACCAAGGTTTGAACCCAGGAAACCCGCCTGAAAGTCCAGCGTTCTAACCGTTCGGCCAGCCACTCCTTGTAGTCATTTGAATTGCTCCCCGCTTATCTCCATGCAGGATCAAAGCCATGGGTCTCTTGATGTTGGAGAAACTTGTGAGGTTTTAACAACTTCTTTTATCTACTCTCTTTTAATTTCTAGTATCTCTTGACCAATTTGTTCGCAATTTTATTAAATTACAATTTTTTTTCCTCCTAATATACACATTAGAAAGATCTTAACTCAACTATCTATCTAACTGTTTCTTCGCTGTCCAGATTTCTGCATCTGAATGTTCTATATGTATAAAAACAACTCCCATATGTAATGTGCATAAAAAGCTATGTATCCGACTTTTCTTTGAATGACATATCATTTTTGCCACTATTTTTCTGACATGTCCAAGAGCAATGTTTGCGAATTTTCTTATTGCAAACTACGAATTCATTACCTTTACCTTTAAATTCATGTGCTACCATAGTTAGGATTTAGGGCCGTATAGCTAATACTGTTGCCAACAACTATACAAGTTAGGATTTAGGGCCGTATAGCTAATACTGTTGCCAACAACTACACAAGTTAGGATTTATGTTTGCCCCCACAAAAAAGCCCTATTACCTTACGTGTGATTTGAGCTCGGTTGTCGTGAATAAGGGCACAGAGTTCTTAAACACTTGGCCAGTCAATCCTCGTCAAAAACTGACGACTGGCTGAGAGTTATGATTCTTTGTTTTTCGCCAGAACATGAAGATGAGAACAGGGAAATATTCGAAACGTGGTAGAGTTCAGTTTCTCTTGTGAATGTGCAGGACTTTGTTCGTTGAACATGCTTATTATAATCTGTAGATATTTAAAACATCGGTCACATTTTAGGATATTCCTACCTGCACACAAGTTCACAAGCGATGTTGTAGTGGGATGTTGTTCTGTCTATCCTGGCCAGATGACGAGACAACCTGTACAGTCTGGCACCCACAGCTCTGCGTGGAGCATCTAAAGGCGATCCATCCACTAACAGTCTCACTTAAATGTGAATGGATGGGCGGCGACTCTACACCTGCAGGCGATGCTGGTCCCTTGGGAGCTGGCGTCGGCAAAATGTGTCCACTTGCGACGGGTGGGGGCTGGGATCGAGGCCTGGTTGGGGTTTGCTGATCTGGGGAAGCACGTGGCAGATCGGCGTGACTCCTGCAAGGGTTCTAGTCTACAGAAAGAAAGAGGGAAGAGATACTGGAAAAGGGAGAGAGAGGGGAAGGATGAATGGAACGAGAATGAGAAAAGAGAGTGGAAAACAAATACAAGGATAGACAGAAAGAGAAAGAGTAAGAGAGAGGGAAGAGAGAGAAGAGAGAGAAAGAGAGAGAGACAGAAAGAGAGAGCGAGAAAGAGAGAGAGAGAGAGAGAGACGTGAAGTGATTACAACACCGAATGTGAAAATGTCTCTATATACATCTAGACAACCACAACCTGGTAAATAATATTATAAGGAAGTGCAGTAAATACAAATGAAAGCGACGTTTCGGTGATATTTTACAAATACCCCAAACGGCGACCTTAAGGGACGCAATTCAATGTTTTGTTAACGGCGAAAAGCGTCCCCTAGAGTCGTCATCTTTTAAGCTTTTGACCCTCATTCACAGACTGGGATAAAGATCACCCGTGGAGAGGTCCCGAAAATTTGGTACAGCCGTTAAGCCATATTCCATGCCTGACTATATTTAGGGCCCCCGGCAAAAGCCAGGGTGGGGCATCAAAACAACTAAAAATTGCATCCCACAAGGGGATTAGTAGTGTACATTATACCGAACTAGGACATCACGGTTACAAATTACGAAACCAGTAATCGCCTTGTGAGATGCAATTTGTCGTTTTTTTTCCAGGGGCCGCAATATAGTCGGACCGTAAATTTGGTCTAAAGGCTGAACGCGGTTTCTGGGACCTCTCCATGGTGATCCTCATCCACATGGTGGCACTTAGTGTCATCGGGTGTTTATCGATTGTGTGATGTCCTGGTGGGGTAGAAATCTACTACTACTCACATAAGCGATAAACACCCGATGATACAATGTGCCACCATGTGGGTGAGGATCACCATGGAGAGGTCCCAGAAACCGCTTTCAGACAATCGGTCATATTTATGGCCTGCCCATATTGCGGCCCCTGGGAAAAGCCAGAGTAGAGTTTCAAATAAGGAAACATCTCGTCCTAAAAAGGACGAGAATTATGTAGAATGTGGAGAACGAACAAAAGAAGTAGAACACCTACCAAAACGTGAACAATGCACGGGTTACATTATGGCTACAGTATTGAATTTAACACTGACAGTGGTATTGTGCATGTATTGTATTTATTGCGACAATCAGTCAAATTAAACTGTCGCTAGAGCTAGATCTCTTGGAATGTTTCATTTTTTCTTATAGATCCCTCTCCTTATTTTTTTAAAAAATTACATTTGTTTGTTATCTCCCCTGAAAAAAAAAAAAAGACTAAGATAGGGAAGTTAGAAGAGGTTGTTGCTTTATCGGTCAGATTCGGGGGACTGTCAGCATGTCAACTTTTAACCCCGAGTCCCACCCGAGTCACTGC